AAAACATCCTTCAAAATGGTTTGGACTGAGCCAAATGATATTCCAACACTATCAGCGAGGTCTCTCATTGTCAGTCGACGATTTTCAAGCACCAAATCTTCGATTTTTTTGGACGTGGCCCTCGTCGGTAGACGTTGATGGTCGTCCAGAGCGCGGTTCGTCTTCAACGCGTTCTCGGCCCGCTTTGAACTCGTTGTACCACTTATAAATGTTTTTTTGTGCCATAGTTTGATCACCAAAGGCCTTCCGCAACATTTTCAACGTGTCCGCACAAGAATATTCGTTCCGCAAACAAAATTTGATGCAAGTTCTTTGCTGAACAAAATCACCCATTGTAAAAATCGAAAAATTCACTTTTGGTCGTTTACTAAAACACGTGTAACTCGGAGATAATTAAACCTTTTAACAAACAGACGCTTGGCAATTGTTATAGACAGTCCTACCAACCTAGGAAAAAAACAATTGCCTGCCTTCCTAATGTCCGGGAGTTTTAAATGACAATTTCACCTTACTTTTTGATCACAGTAGTATATATATGTACCGGAAATGAAGGAGGGGGGAGGAGGTAACTACAATTATTAATAAACGCATTTATATGTTGTACAAAAAGTCGCAAATATCTAAGAAATTGTATCATTATAGAAATAATTTTTTTTCTAATTGAAATTAGAAAGCAGTCAAAATGACTTCCTTGGGCAATCTAGTGTTGACATTGCAATCAAGGTTTCGTTTTTACACGAACGTGCAAGATATCGCTATGAACGCGCATGGATGAAATAGAATTGAATTCCGCCGGTTCGAAGAATTTTATTCGAGGAAAGAAAGAATTTTTATGGAAACGAAGTGCTACGAAATGATAACGCATTCGTTTAAAAACGTGGCACGTTGTGAAATTAATAGAAATTTCAAGATGCTTGTCAAATTCTGCGTTTGACGTTTTTTTTTTTTTGGAACGAACGAAGAGTACTTCGAAGAATGAGGGAACTTAGGATTAAGACCGCAACGGTTTCACTTGTTGCCTGCACGCTTAATTAAAGTTATGCGATGAATAATTCAAGTTCCCTTTGCCGATTCGTCGTCTTTTTCAGAGTCCAAGAGAGTCTGCAATTTGAAAGACACGGTGTGCCTGACGAAGAACAGATGTAAGCTCTATTGAAACTTAATAATTATATATATATATATATATATATATATATATATATATATGTATATATAATTATTAATAAATTGAAAGTTAATAAATTATTTGACGAAAATGTTTCTAATTTCAGACAGATGGGCCTCCGTGGTGCCAAACACGGATCTGTACATACACGCGGCCGATAATTCTGACAATGTTTTGCACTGCAACAATTGCTATCCATTGTGCACAGACGTGAATTACGAAGCGAAGATAATGCTCACTCAAATACACCCTGGTTATCGCGGATCGAAATTAATGTGAGTAGCTGTTTTAATTAAACTTTTATTCGGACGAAGGATAAAAGACAAAGGCTACCGAGTAGAATTTTATTCGACGATATCGAATAAAAATTCATCTAGATACAAACTCGTCCGAATCAGATTTTACTCGAATAAGAATTCATTCGGATAAGAATTTATTCGTACAGGAATTCGCATGGAAAATAATCGATTTTAATGCAATAAAATGATAGAATGTGAAGTGTTTTTTCTATAGTTTTTAAATAGTCGATTTATTTCTTCCATATTATTGTTTCCAATTATTCGAATTATTCGAATGCAAAATTATTCGTTCGAATAAAGAATTGTTCCAATAAATAGATGGAATAATTTATGAAGAATAATGAAATAATTAATTATTCGAATAAAATATTCGACTAAAAGGAGCTCATTCGGATAATTATTTTAGATAAATATTTATTCGAAACAATTCGAATAATGCTTAACTCTGGTATCGACTTTCGAGAATCATTCTGATTGTGTTTGCGTAATCCGCAGGCAGAATGCCTACTTCGAAAACCAGAGTACTTTGAATGTATACTTCAGTCGTTTCGGCACTACCAAGTTGAAGCAAGACGTGATTTATCGATGGTACGAGCTTGTGGGTAAGTGGAATATTTTTCTTACGAACCGATATTTTTCACGAGATAATCGGAAATCAAAGAACGTAGCATCCCTGATTTTTACGTTTCAAATGAAAATATAGAAATATTGATATTGAACTGGGAAAGCAGGCGTGAATTTGTAGTTAACGGTCTGGGAAAAAGTGAACTCGCCGATAATTGAAAAGGTATTAATAAAATATTCCCCTCGGATGAAATTGGCCGGAACACGTTACAGGAACGCATTACGTTCTGCTACAATCTTTCCGGTGAAATTGACCAGAACACATTACGAGAACGTATCGCGCTCTATTACAACCCATTGGAGATTAAAGGAAGTCCTCTAAAGGAGCTTTAGCTATTCGCGGAAGTACTTTCCCGCGTTATTTTCATTTCCAATCTCGTTTTACCAGTTTGCGCGACATCGATCGTTCGATAGAAAACGTTTAAAGCGAACAATCTTAAAAGCCACGCGCGTCGAAAATCAGCGAAACAAATGAAATCGATACGGTATAGAAATATTAAAGATCGCGAACAACCCTTACAAAGCGGAATGAAATTGATTCGTACAGAAATGTAACAAAAATCACGAACAGCTCTTACGAGACAGGATGAAATTGATTCGTACAGAAATCGTAAAAAAATCACGAACAGCTCTTACGAGACAGGATGAAATTGATTCGTACAGAAATCGTAAAAAAATCACGAACAGCTCTTACGAGACAGGATGAAATTGATTCGTACAGAAATGTAAAAAAGATCACGAACAGCCCTTACGAAGAAGAATGAAATCGGTTCGCATAGAAATATAAAAAAAATCACAAATAATCCTTACGAAATAGAATGAAAAATAAACTCGAGATAAAATCGTACGAATTTCAAGATTAACTCGCACAAGGTTGCTGGGCTACGATAAATCCAAGCCTCGAGCTTTCGTTTTGGAGAACAAATTCGTTCGATCTCGCCGAATTTTTACGGTGGCCTGTGCGTGCAAATTTTCCGCTTTGATTCCGCCGATGTAAACGTAATCGCAGCGAGCCCGACCGACGGGGCCAACTTGAATCGGGCGAACGGCGGTCGTAAAAGCGTTTCCGAATGAAACGGTCGGGATCCACCGGCAGGGAGTAAGGATCGCGATGCAAAGGATTCCGTTTTGCAACAACGTAGGATCCGCAGCACGAAGTTCTCCGCGCGCGGCCGTAATCTGTTGCCTCGAGCTTCCGGAGGAAATAAAAGCGCAGGGAACAGGCACGCCGCGGGTTGATCCATTATGCTACGGACACGCTCGCCTGGCGAACGGTTGTAATGCGCTCAGGATAAGGGAGTTACGAGTCCCGTTTTTATACGCGATCCTCCGCAACGCACCGTGATTCCTATCGGGATACGCTGCCGCCATTCTCCCGAAAACTTCGCGAGCTTGTACGAGCTTCACGATTGAACAGTGAGTCTTCGAGCCGCGCCACTGTTTTCCAGAAAAGTCACGGAAACATCGTAATTATATCAGGAATTTTTGAGCGACTCCACGGATTTCCGGCGCGGTTGCAAAATGCAGAAGTCGAACGCAATTTCTATTTCCGTCAATTTTAACCCCCAGCATTGCAACTGCGTGACAGACTCGCGATGAAGATTTCGAACACGATTTATTAACCCTTTGCACTCGAAGCTGCTTCAACTGAAAATATAAAATCATTTTTCTAGCTTACGGTATTTCTATTTTATATTAGAAAATGCATTTTATGCATATATGAAAATCGACTCTGGGGACTCGCGTAACAGTTACACTCGTAACAATTTTCCAAATGTAAACTTTGTTAAATATCAAAATTATTCTAAAAGGTGATATAACAAATATTAATGACGCCTCAGAGTCGCCATTCGAGTGCAAAGGGTTAAATATGGGCGTTACTCGCTTCTTCGAAGCAGCATTAAAAATTCGGCATTATCGTTGTTTATATTCGACGATTCTTAATAATCCAGATGCAATTTCTTCGAGGTTTTCGTTGATTTCGTTTTCCCTTCTTCGTTGACGTCGAATCAGACGGGTTTAGAGAAGTCTCCAAACGAGACTTCCTGTCTCCGTATAAACAATTAGCAGGAGAGATCTATTTACCTTTAACCCTTAGCGCTCCGAAGGCTCCGCTACGGAGACATTTGTCATTTGTTCCGTAACTCCGAAGGCTCCGCTGCGGAGCCAAATGTTTTTAGCACACGTTATCGTCGGCGTTAGCAATTGTTATCTGTAGTTAACCCTTTCGCTACGGCGGTTCAGTCCGCCGTAGCGCCACTCCTGAACGGAACCACCCGCCGAAATTGTGCACATTGCGCGTGGATAGTGTATTTGGGAAGAAAAGGGATTTTTCTTTAAAACAATATAGTTATAATTTCTGCATAAGGTATAAAGTTATTTAATAGGTAAAAAAAGTTTCATTAACAATGGAAAAAGTGAAGAAATAATATATAATATACAGTAATAAAATAAAACATAATATTCATAATACAAAACATAATACATAATAATTAGTCCTAAAGTTAGTACTTTCGATTTTCTATCCCTTTATGACATGTAACACAATAATAATGGGAAATGCAGGTAGAACAAATATAACTTGAATGGTGTGTCGTTTATTTCGGACTGTCGTTTGTTTGTTTCGTCAAAAGATTCACGCAATACCAGCATGTCGGATATATCCGGCGTTCGTCCCCAGAGGGCGATCATGTGGATGTCGGATATATCCGGCGTTCGGCTCCGCGAGTGTTCATATGGATGACGGATATATCCGTCGTTCGGAGCGAAAGGGTTAAAAAAAAAGCTGTTCACAGCTTTTCACAGGTTCGTTGGTAACGAGAGACATAAAGATCGAAACGAGGAAAGAGCATCGAGCCGCGCCGTTGAAAGAAGGCCGAAAACAAATTACAGCGGCGGCGTGACGATAATTTGCAGTGACTACTTCGCAACCACCGAGTACATGTAACAGGGAACGACAAGGCGAGCGCAGAAAGTCATCGCGACGAGGAGAAAGTTTCCGTGGAAACGGACACGAAGAATACCAGCGGGATACGCGAGTCGGATAAAATAATAGAATAATAGAAACCGAGGAGGCGGCACGGACCGAGGGACAAAGGGGGGTGGGGAAGGGGAGACGGAAAGGGTGAAGAGGAGGAGGGTGCGCAGGAGGGGCGCGTAAGCTCGCAGCAGCGGACGATAAAATTTAGGCGTTAATCAGAATCTTGTTTCCACGGCGGGGACGATCTCTCTAACGAGGGACCGTCGGCCATTGTACCATTTACACAATTACACGTTTCCATTCCCTCCGGACGTTTCCGCGTTTATATATATATCGGCGCCGGCCAGGTGGGTGGTGTATACATACACGTCTCCCCCCCCCCCCCGTGCATACGTGTAATTTCTGCGTGCACCGTCGCGTGTCTCTCTCCCCCTGTATATTCGCAGCGCTGCCGAAAGTATGGTATAAACTAGCACCAGGCGATTTCTTGTGCAAAAGTGAACAGAAATTGTAGAACGGAATTTTTTCGTGCGAGCTTCGGATTTCGAGAAAATTCAGGCTCAAGCTGCGTCCTCGTGTTTGCGCATAGCTGACCGTTTCCACTTATTCGACGCACCGCCACTCGACACGCTTCCGCGACGCAATTTCCTCAAGATCTGAATCGGAATTAAAAAATACTGTTCTACGCTTTTCGGGGAAATTTTTCAGAGGAGAATTTTCCTGTATTTCGAGCGTAGTTTTTGGACCGTACGACGGCGCTCTGTTGCTCGAAAATTGTGGACATTCTCTCGGCTGCGAGATTTGCAGGCTTAGTGCAAATTACGTTACATTCAATTTGCAGTCGTGTGGATAATTATAAACTCAGAGTAACTTTTACGTTTCTAGTGGCACTTAAACAAAAAATTATATTTACATATTTCTATGATAGAAATAATAGAGAATAGAAATATACAAATACGATATTTTGTCAATCTTTAGTTTAACATTTAACATTTATACAAAAAATTATATTTACACGTTTCTAGAATAGAAATACACAAATATGATATTTTGTTAATCTTTAATTGAAATATCGGTAACAATGTAAAAGTTACTTTGCATAATAACGCATAATATGCAAAAGTAACTATACAATACGTATTAATATTATTAAATTATTATTAGCATTTTAATTGTTGTAATTATTAATATTATTATACATTCTTATTTAAACATACAGTCAATTTTTAATTACTACGACCACAGTGAACTAATAACAATTCGTACAACGTACACAACGTTTCATTTCGAAATATCGAGGGTCCACACGCTTTTGAAAACATTCTGCGACGTAAGAACGAGAGAGAAGGTTCGGTCCGCGGTCTGAGACGAAAGAGAAGGAAGGAAAGGTGGGGGAGGTGAGGCAAGGTAGCGTTGCTGATCACGGAGCGTGTGGGGAGGGGTGGTTTGCGGAACTGATGGCGACGGTGGTCGTGGCGGCGGTGGTTGTGGACCGGTTGGGGGTGCCGGCACACACGCGTACGTTCGCTTCGGTGTGTAAAAGTGCGTGCGGCTCCGGCGTGTGCGTGTGTGCGCGCGCGTGTGTGCGGTGCGTACACACGTGTTATTGATCGCGGCGAGCGCTGTCTGCCTACTGGCCCTGCCGGCGACGTAACAGAAACGCCAACCGCATTTTCCCGCTAACTCCATTCTCTTAGAAACCACTTTGCGCGGTCCGCGACGCGAGTCGACGCATCTCCGCGCAACGACGCTCCGATGCCAGCGTGCTGCTTTAGAAATTTCTCGATGGACCGTGGGATACCGGCATCACGGCCACTGCGTGCAAGCTGTTGCTTCCAGGAGAATCTGCGAGGCACGTTCGCCCCGGATAATTGCGTTTTTCGGTTCGGGGACCATATGGCGGCCGACGCGGAAATGCTGCTTCCGAGATGAAGTTTGGTCTTCGGGACGATTGGCGAACGCTGGTATCTTTTCAGAGGATGTTACCGGGGTCGGAAGTTCGCTCGAATATGCAAAACAACATTTGATGATAATTAAGCCTTAGCTAACGCGAAGGCTCCGCTACGGAGACGTTTGTCATTCGACAAACTCGGCGTTGCTTCGTGACCTAAAGTGTTGGTTATAAGTTGGGGTCACGGAGCGAGGCTATGTTTCCTTCGACGTACCGATTTTTAGTTTTCTAACTCGATTACTAATATTTCTAGCGAGCCAGTATATTAACCCTTACCGCTCCGAAGGCTTCGCTACGGAGACGTTTGTCACTTGTTCCGTAACTCCGAAGGCTCCGCTGCGGAGCCAAATGTTTTTAGCATACTTTATCGTCGGAGTTAGCAATTGTTATCTGTAGTTGAAACGCGCTAAGTCTGTGCCATTACGATTAAACCATTTTTTGACCTTTTCTATGGTTAGCAACATGGAGAAAAATAAATATTACGATGAGAATTTAGTGCCGAGTGATACCGAAGACGTATTCGATTTTGAAGAGTTAAAAGACATTGTGGAAGACAATGTTGGTTATGATTCTGACACTTCGAGTAGTAGTAGCGAAATTATGCTACCAAAGAGACGAAGAATGAGAATTATTGAAAGCGAAAGCGAAGATTCGTTACAAGACTTGGATGAATGGCGCGATGTTACGAAAGAATTACATATTCCAGATAGAATACCTTTTAGTGTATTGCCACAGATCATTGGGCCACAAGTTCCTACAAACATCGAACAGCCGATACAATATTTTAAATTATTTTTCACGGACGAATTGGTAAATGAAATTATAAAGGAAACCAACGATTACGCAGAATATGTTCTAAACGTGAAAGAAATATCTAGTAACTCTATTTGGCAAAGTGAATACTGTGACACTTGTCCAAGTAAACCCAGAATGCACATGAGAGATTGTTACCAAAGATATCGCACCATGGTGAATTACAGAATTTAAAATTTATCTTTTATTTACAGTAGGAAAATGTATATTTATAAAATAAATAAAATCAAATGCATTCGCAAAGACGTGTAATCTTTTCCGCTCAAAATAAGACTACCTTCGTCGCAGGCGCTTTGCTCCAAAAATGTGCCGGAGTTGCTGGTAGGCAGTACTCGAGAAACGCGCGGAGCGCTAAGGGTTAATTTCAGTATTCGCGGAATAATACGGCGAGATCCAATTATAAATATCCGGCAGCGAGTTCGAAGGTCGTAGCCTGACCGGGAATTTGACAATTTCAAATTGCCGAATTGGAAACGTTTAGAGGACCGAGGAAAGAAAGAGAGAGAGAGAGAGAGAGGGGGGGCGGAGAAGGATGACATTTTCGTATTTTCCAGGCGACGCCAGTGGCATCGGCGGCATCTTCGTCGGGTTCAGCCTCATCGCTGTCGTGGAGTTCGTTTACTTCGTCGGTCTTTTCGTGTTCGAGCTTTTAAAGGGACCAGATCCGTCTGAGGTCGGCGCCGAGGACGAAAGCTGGCGCGAACGACCTCCGATACAGAAGATTTACTGGGGCGAGCTGTATCCGAGATCGAGGCAGAACGTGGCGGCGAAACGGCACCATCAAATTCGCGAGATGTATTAGCGTGCGCCGCCTAAGTGCTACGGACAATTTTCGCAGCCGCTCCTTCTGTGCGAACATTCTCTCCTCGGGACATATGTAATCATTTCGAAAAACTACGATTCTCTTACGTATATCAATTCTCTCTTATGAAATTTTCTAGCCACATTTACGAGAACACGTTAAACTTTCAACAGCTAATAAATCGTTTAATTGTACAGTCTTCGAACGAAACTGCATTTGTCATTCAACCCTTCATCGGACTGCCAATTGAGCAGTTTATTTTGAAAGTGGCATAAGTCACTTTACCGTAATGAAAAGTGGTGATTTTTTAATGTTTATACGAAATTGTTTATACCGAGAAAAATATCAGTATCCTGAGATAACAAATACAAGTAAATCTTCTCGAAAGTTAGCATCCATATTTTTAAACGTGTTAAAACACGCAAACCCTTAAATATATCGACTTAAAAACAAAATGACTTATGCCACTTTCAAAGTAAACGGCTCAATTACTGCCAGTTATCGTTTCAGTAAATATTGCGTATTTCCAAGTTAGCGAGTGCGAGTAAATTTACGTTGAAACACTGCGAACTCGACGAGTGAATAGAGGGTTATGTGAATTTTTAAATAATTATTGTATTAATATAGAGGCTTATATTAATTTTTAAATAATTACCGAGTTAATGGAGAATTACATAAGTTTTTAAGTAATTACCTGTATCGATGACTTGTTCAAAGTTGCGTGGGGTCAATAACCTTGACATAATCCGGTTAAGGGTCAACGAAGAATCAATAATTTTTGTTTCATCATATTAGAGAACGTTTAGCATTTTCTAAACCGCGAAACGCTTTGACAGATTTGTTTAAGAAATAAAGCCATAAATAAAACGAAATTGCTGATGCTACTATAAAGTCGAATGAAATGAAATGATCTTACCATCGAGGTTCGATAGCTTTTTAATATCACTCGGAGCCCCGGGAATATTGTAAAACACATTTTAGCAGCTATGCATAATAAATGTACTAACATGGAACGTAGCCACATAAGCGACGTCTATGGAAAGTCAAGTGTATTTACCGCAGCACTCAAGGTAATAAAATGTGTAGAAGCTGTGACAGTAATGTCTGTGGAAGCTTAGAGTGTAGAAATAAGCTTCTTAACTCAAAGAAGATGCTTTAAAGGAAATGTGTACTTACGAATTATACTCGAGTATGTTATTCCAGCGTCTCTCGGATAATATAACATATGATATTTTCGTGTATTATAATTAAGTTTGACACATGAACCGCGATGTCTCATAACCGACCGTTTCTATTTCCGCAGAGTTTACTGCAAACTAGTTACAAAAATCTTGGAAAATGTTATTCGAGATTATTTTTGATTTTCTCGGAAAATAATTCAAATAATAATAATAATAACAATAATAACAATAATAACAATAATGACAATAATGGCAATAATGGCAATAATGGCAATAATGACAATAATGACAATAATGACAATAATGACAATAATGACAATAATGACAATAATAATGATAATGATAATAATGACAATAATGACAATAATGACAATAATGACAATAATGACAATAATGACAATAATGACAATAATGACAATAATGACAATAATGACAATAATGACAATAATGACAATAATGACAATAATGACAATAATGACAATAATGACAATAATGACAATAATGACAATAATGACAATAATGACAATAATGACAATAATGACAATAATGACAATAATGACAATAATGACAATAATGACAATAATGACAATAATGACAATAATGACAATAATGACAATAATGACAATAATGACAATAATGACAATAATGACAATAATGACAATAATGACAATAATGACAATAATGACAATAATGACAATAATGACAATAATGACAATAATGACAATAATGACAATAATGACAATAATGACAATAATGACAATAATGACAATAATGACAATAATGACAATAATGACAATAATGACAATAATGACAATAATGACAATAATGACAATAATGACAATAATGACAATAATGACAATAATGACAATAATGACAATAATGACAATAATGACAATAATGACAATAATGACAATAATGACAATAATGACAATAATGACAATAATGACAATAATGACAATAATGACAATAATGACAATAATGACAATAATGACAATAATGACAATAATGACAATAATGACAATAATGACAATAATGACAATAATGACAATAATGACAATAATGACAATAATGACAATAATGACAATAATGACAATAATGACAATAATGACAATAATGACAATAATGACAATAATGACAATAATGACAATAATGACAATAATGACAATAATGACAATAATGACAATAATGACAATAATGACAATAATGACAATAATGACAATAATGACAATAATGACAATAATGACAATAATGACAATAATGACAATAATGACAATAATGACAATAATGACAATAATGACAANGATAATGATAATGATAATGATAATGATAATGATAATGATAATGATAATGATAATGATAATGATAATGATAATGATAATGATAATGATAATGATAATGATAATGATAATGATAATGATAATGATAATGATAATGATAATGATAATGATAATGATAATGATAATGATAATGATAATGATAATGATAATGATAATGATAATGATAATGATAATGATAATGATAATGATAATGATAATGATAATGATAATGATAATGATAATGATAATGATAATGATAATGATAATGATAATGATAATGATAATGATAATGATAATGATAATGATAATGATAATGATAATGATAATGATAATGATAATGATAATGATAATGATAATGATAATGATAATGATAATGATAATGATAATGATAATGATAATGATAATGATAATGATAATGATAATGATAATGATAATGATAATGATAATGATAATGATAATGATAATGATAATGATAATGATAATGAGATAATAATAATAATGATAATAATAATAATAATGATAGTGATAATGAGATAATAATAATGATAATGATAATGATAATGAGATAATAATAATGATAATAATAATAATAATAATAATAATAATAATAATAATAATAATAATAATAATACAAACAATAATAGTAATACAAATAATAATATTAAGTCAATGTTTCTCACGTCCCTTTCGAAGTTCGCAAGGAAGCGTTAAATGAACGATACGAAGTTGGCAGTATTTTCTTTAAATTCACGTGCAGAAAAATTGCAAGTAGGGCGTAGATTAGGAGAAAAAGAGGGAGTTCGGACAAATCGACGCTCGTCTACGTTTTCGACCGCAACGAGACCGTTGACGAAGGCACGTACATATCTTCCCGAAAAATTACCAATCCCCTCGGCGTTTCTTTCCACGGGGATTTAACGGAAGGAGATCCGAGAATCTGAGAGGAAACGCTGCGCGCCGTGCCATAAGCTTGCGAGCTTTCTAACGAGGCTCTGGCGGAGGTTAGCTTAAAGCGTTAAAGCGGATCTCGCCGCGGCGGAATCGGTTGGGAAGCAACCGGGAAAAAATGTTTAACGGGAGATCTTCGTCTTGGATGCCTGTATTTACACTTGTTAAGCGCCTCCCATTTAACGCGTTCGCGCCTCGGCCGAGTTTGATGAACTCTCTTGCAGCTTCGAACCTTTTGCGAGACCCGGCATACATCGAACGAGCTGTTTAGAATCGTAACGGCGTAAATCGCGTTTTCGAACATTTTAACTTGTGTCTGAAAATGTGATCTATACATGGCAAAATGTTGAGAAGACAAGTGAAACGAACGATTAGAGTAACTGTAACTTCATTTAACTCTAAATTATCTTAACACTAAACCTACCAAGCAGTAATACTAACTGGCGTGTACTGCTTCACAAAAGTGAGAAGACCGAATTTATTTGGAATTTGTAAAGTTTTTATTATAAGACTTGCTCCAATAATATAACTTATTCAAGCGTTTTCCACGAAAGAAAACGGCCACTTCGACCGCGGTAGTGTTAATAGTAAACGGTTTAGTGTTAATAGTAAATTCGATCGGTAAACAATACCTTGTTTCTCACAATCTGGAAAATGTGACAGTTTTAATTTTTTCCATAGATCTCAACAAATTGTCTCGAAGAGGAGTAATTAGCAGACTGGAGATTTTATTTTAGAACTAGAGAAATTAATTTCTGGATTGTAGAATTCTTGACAGGAAGAATAAAATAGTAAAACGTATTCTCGAAATTAGGAGGTCAATGGCAGTTGATTAATGATTTTGAATATTCGTTTTTCCATCACGCAGAAGTCAGGGTGGCTCGATACGGGAGAGATGAAACGCGGCGGGATTGTCGGCTCGTATGTAATTCGATAAAAGTGCATTAAATGGAATTAATTATCGGAGTTTGATGTGTTAATAGATGGCCGTGGCCATTGTTCATCGGAAATTCCATGACGCGAGTTTTAATTATTGATGATATTGCGCCCGCTGCTGTAATATTTCTATTAATATCGCGTATTGGTTTTAATTAACGAGGCCGATCGATTCCCGGCGTTAACATTAATTTCACGTCCGATACGGTGCGAAAGTTTTCATATTGGTTGCATTCACGTCGCGAAAACTGCGGATAATCGAACTGTAGATTCGAAATTCTAGCAGCTCGTGGATAATAACAAAAGGTAAATGTTTCTCTATCAATCGTCCCTTTCGCGTCGCATGCAAATATTTGTTGACAAATCGACGCGATATATTTCAATTTATCTCCGCGCACCCGACGGAAGACGTCTGCTTCGATGTCGAATACCCCGGCCAGAAAAAAATCGCACGACAATCAATGACCACTGATTTTACAGCGGAAGATCGCCGCTTTCCGTTGCCGCAAGTCCCATTCGTCTGAAAAATGTTGTCCGCTTCGTGTAACATTGCAAAGTCGATCAAAATTTACAAAAATGTTCGAAAGTGCTCTACGAACGCTACGTACAAATGTCGCGTTATAACTTTGCAAATAAGAGGTATAGTTAGAAGTTCGTAAAAGCATCTAAAAGTAGAGATTCTACACTTTCGAATGACTTCTTAAGCATATCGATGCGAGCATTTCTGCCAGAGTTACGATCGTTTTAAATTGACTCTGTTCTTCGGATTAGCGTCCCATCAATTATTTTGGGAAATGAATTATTTCCTTCGATGGAACATCGCG